GTATATGTGTATGTGTGTGTGTACGTGTGTGTGTGTGTACGTGTGTGTACGTGTGTGTGTATGTGTACGTGTGTGTGTGTGTGTGTGTGTGTGTGTGTGTGTGTGTGTGTGCGCGCGCGCGCGTGTGTGTGGCCGGATCTACAGCTTTCGGGAGACGGGGTGAGGGGGGCGATATTTGAGTGAAGGCGTGCCGAAGGCAGGCGGTACTAGGGTGACCTCATTTTACTAGTATCACAGCATCAGGAGTAAATAATAATAAATTATCTATATTAATAATCTTATAATAATCTATTATTATTCACTCCTAATAACATTAGTCAGTGGCTGAACGGGGGGGGGTCGCCACCCCAACCCCCCTCTAGATCCGCCACTGCACACACAAGCATCCATGTCCTTGGGAACACACCTAGACTGATTGCACAGTTGCGTCAACTACCATCATTACTACCTTGTGATAATTGATGTGATACCGGTAGTGACCGTGTACTACTTACTACATCGGCGTAACGCGAGTCAGGTGTCTAGGAGGCATATAGCTAAAGTTGTGTTCCTGTGTTTGTCTTTTCCCGGATTTCCTGAACGGTCTGATTTTTACCGCGTGTTTTCTTGATTACCGTAAATACGTAACCAGCGGTTTTTTTGGTTCTCACTTCTTTTTTTTTTTCTCTCCCACCCATTTCCGTTTCTAGTGTAGCGTTTTTCACTTTCTGCGTTACGTATGCGTACGGCCTTTTTAGAGCAGCCTCTATAGCGGCTTCTACTGTGCTACTTTTTAACAAGACTATCATATTCCATTATATCTACTATCATGCTATCATTCACTATCCACTATCACTTCACATCACACCACTTCACTTCACTATCATTCAGTATCAGTTCACCTCACACCACTATCCACTTCACCATTCATCTATCCACTATCATACACTCATCATGTCTCTCAGGCGCGTGACAATCGAGATCATGCTTGATCAGGCCGAATTCAGAGCGAGTAGCCAGTGTAACATTTACCCCGCTGCACTTTCACCATAGTCAAAGCATTTCAAGCATAGTGGCGACAATGGAACGTGAAAATTGGATAGCGACCCACCTGCTGATATAATGTACCGGTACAATATCACCGGACAAATATGCGCCGGATTATTTTGCGCGCATTGTTACAATAATAGGTCATCGGTGTATCCGTTCTCGTCTGCTTGGCGCGCGCTGTCGTGAGATAATATCGGCCCGTAGCTTTAAGAGACGTGGCGCGCTCGGTCGCCAACGTTAAACACATACTACTGATTTATATCCGCTACAATTTTCACTTTCACGCGAGCCGAGATTGTCCTCGTAATGTTCCGGTCTACGTAGCAGTTCGGTTTCATACGCGAACACGGATTTTAGTGAGCTATTGTGCTTGTGAAATTCCATTCATGGCGCATGTCTATCAAATTAGGTTATCCAGTGGCTGTGGAATGTCAATAATTGTACATTGCATGTCACAATTCGATTTCAAACTATTTATCCATCGTATGTGTTGCTTGAAAGGTTGGTCGCTATGCTATTGGCGTTATATATTCATATTATTTAATGTGTGTTTTATAAATCACATGTTTAGGTTTGCCGAATTCATTAAAATGTTGCATAATTAAAAAGATTTTTTATCTGTGATATGAAATGAGGGTATACGCACGTAATCAAAACACAATCGCACTATACGCTTGATAGGACACGTTGAACTACTTACCTACGTAACATAAATTAAAATATATCGAGAGACATAATTAGAAGTAATATTACAGGGGCGGCGCCACGGTTTTCAAAGTGGGGGGGCCCAATTGAGAGAACGAAGCGACCATGCCGGGGGGCCGAGTTATTCGGGCGCGAAGCGAATTTTAAATTTTCAAATGGAAGAAAAACGGAAATAACACTTTTTCAGTACATGTCTGGCTATGTACATGTCAACTATAGTGAAGTATATAATTTGCATCAATATGAATACATGTAATAGGAATAAAGAATATGAAATGGGGAATCTTTTTCAGGGCGTACAGAAATTTTCATTTTCTTCAACCTGGTAATAGTCAAAAAATAACATTGCTGAATAATATTTAAACACTTATAACATCACTCGACTAGCTTTTATCTTTAGTTTATCTGCATGTTGCCTTTAAAAACCCAAGCTGCTAGGATATTACATAAAGAATACATCAACTATTTATTAATTAAAAAGACTTAAAGTGCAAACTAAACTAAAAGAATAAAAGGAACTATATAAAATATATACATAAAACTAACGCTCATAGGGTCTATGTCCCCCAGGGTACTGCCGGAACGTACCCAGGCGCGTAGCTAGGATTTTATTTTAGGGGGGGGCGGCAATGAGCACGTGAAGTGTGCGAATCAGGGGCGTAAATCCGTACCGAAGAGTGGGGGGGGGATGATCGGCGATAGCCATCACATACTAGCACGAGCACAAGCCCACAATAATTTACCCACACGCGCGCGATCGCCCACGCACGAAAATCGCATAATTGAGAATAAGTAATTTAAACATCATTTTGTGGTAATTACATCATTATACAACCACCCACCTACATAACATACGACACACACACACACACACACACACACAGCACACACACACACACACACACACACACACACACTACACACCACACACACACACAGCACACCACATGCTCAAGCGTGGGGCAAAGCTCATTTCACAAAATATTTTTAAATAATTAAAAGATATCTGTTGTTTTTTTATAATCTTTTAAGCACCAGTCTTTTGTATGGCTCCTTTTTCTTCCGTACGTCCTCTTTACCTTTTTTCTCTCTTTCTCTCCCCCCCCCCCTTGGCTAAGCGGCATGAACGTACCCCTGTTCGGTCCGGTATACCGCTTTGCGTTTTTCAGCGGTGCGTAGCAGAGACTGACTGCGCGTACGTAAGCCGTGCGTACGCGTGCGTAGTGGCTATACAGTGTGTGCATATGCAAGTACGGTCTGATATTCGTACCTCGAATTCGAGGCCTCCGAAGCACAGGATCAAGGCCGCCGAAGATCGCGCAGTATTGGGCAAAATAACGGCATAGAGAGGATAGACAGTCTGTTGCTATAGATTAAGGCTAGAGACTTCGTCAACCTTGTAATTTTGCCAAGTAAGGCGCAGATGAAAAGTGTGATAAACACTCTCTTTCGCTCTTTCCCCCTTCGCTCTGCCTCCTTATTCGCGCTTTCTCTTTTCTGGGCATTTCTTTCTGATCATACCAAAATACATATAGAGCATATATTTTGCTTTGGGGCAAAAAGTGGGGGGGGCCCGGCGACCCCCCCCGTACGCGCCGCGGCCTGTATTATCACAGCAGAGATAAGCGAAGGTATATACAAACTCACGTAGTACATAGTAAAGCTGGATTTACACTACCGACTTTGTGTTGGCAAATTGGCGAATTGGACCAACTTCCCAACTATAGCAACCGACAATCGCATGCAAACGCAAAAGAGTCGTGCGAGGGCAACCGTCGATAGCAACTAGTCGGGAGATTAGAACATAATTATGTTCTATTTTTGCCAACTCGGAGTTGGTCCAACTCGCTAATTCGCCAACATAAAGTCGGTATAGTGTATATACACAGCTTAACGCGAATAAAGGTAAACCTACCTTCCTCTATTAAAAAAGATTTAACAGCAATCGATCATAATAATCACTTTTTTTACATTTACTTCTCCTTACCGAGTCGTGTCAGTTTTATTTCAGCTGATTTCATATCTACACACGCAGAAATACATTGCATACACAGACATATTTACATATGCTTGATGTAAACACACACGTTTGTATATACATTGGTGTTGTAAATGTTACATATTATAAACCACGAGTATTACATGATAGCCATAACGAATGTACACACAAACAAAAACATGTGCACTCCAACTGTACCGCTATCCCTGACGACTATGGTAGCATGCTACACACATATCATCAAGAGCGTATTAAGTAATAATCTTTACATATACTTAATACGCTCTTGATATCTTGCATAGACGTACCGACATTTACAGTCGTAACGCGAACAGACACATCTACTGAGCATCATCAAACCTGTAGTAGGACCATACTGCCTACACGCTTCCTTCATCCCCATGATATCAACAGCTAATGATAGGCCTACCTAAGTATTATTAGCTCTTGATGAACTGTAACTAACATCCAGACACTTTATGACATGAGCACTGCAGCTAAATACAAGCTGTTGATATACCTACACTCCGTGCTTCTGCCCAAGATTTCAGTAGCAAGCACTGTCTGTGTGCTCGCTCTATCACGATACGGGATAAATTAGAGCCCAATGATTGCGTGATCTAAACGGATTCAAAGCTCAGTAGAAAGGTTCGTCTTTCCCATCATGCATCAGGAAAACATCGTCAGAAATATCATATTATAGTTATGATTATATCAGGAGTAGATAATAGAAGATTATCTTCTATTATCTACTCCTGATTATATGTAAGGCCATAGCCAGACCCAATTCCATATGTTCATAACAGCTGCATGGTACTCCATTTCCAGTTTTAGGATTTCATACTTTTTAGAACATGAGGGTTGTGTGTTATATCATGCTCATGACTTCAATAGAACACAAGGATTGTGTGCTCTATCATACTTCTGGCTTCAATAGAACACAGGGATTGTGTGCTCTATCCTACTTCTGGCTTCTCAATAGTAAAACACAGGGATTGTGTACTAGTCATTACATTCTGGCGTTCAAGATAACACAAGGATGGTGTGCTCTATCAAGTTCTGAACTTCAGTAGCACACAGGGACGTGTGCCCTGCTATACATACTTCGGCTTGCAATAGAACAAGCAGGGATTGGTGTGCTCTATCAATACTTCTAGGCGCTTCATAGGACACAGGATCGTGCTCTATCATACTTCTGGGCATTCAAGTAGCGACACAGTGGATCGTGGTGCTCTATATCATACTTCTGCTTCAATAGCCGACACAGGGATTGTGTGCTCTATCATACTTCTGGCTTCAATAGAACACAGGGATTGTGTGCTCTATCATACTTCTGGCTTCAATAGCACACAGGGATCGTGTGCTCTATCATACTACTGACTTCAGTAGCACACAGGGATTGTGTGCTCTATCATACTTCTGGCTTCAGTAGCACACAGGGATCGTGTGCTCTATCATACATCTGACTTCAGTGAAGCACAGAACATCATGCTATCAGTGTGCTATCAGCATGACAAGTTCAGTAGAATGCAGGATTCGTGTGTTCTATAAAACACTGCTTGCAGAAGCGCTTGACAGTCTTGTACGCATCCGCGCTCAGATTGCACTCCTGTATATTCAGCTGCAGCAACGCGCGACAGTAATACGCCAACAGTATCACTCCCTTGTCCGTCACCAGGCCGCATGCCCGGATGCTGAGCTTGCGCAGTGCGGGGCAGCGCTGCGCCAGAGCCTCCACCCCCGCGTCGGTGACGTCACACTTGCCGATGTCCAGCGAGCGTAGACGTGGGCAGTTGTCGGCGAGGGTGAGTAGGCCGTGGTCGCTGACGGCTTCGCAGCCTCGCACGTTTAGGTAGCGCAGCTTTGCGCAGTGGCGGGCGATGTACTCGACGCCCACATCGCTCACCTTCTCACACTTGGCCATGCTGAGGTACCTGCAAACACGGTGGGACGACGTCGTGTTAAGCCAGTGCTTCTTAAATTAATTCGGTGTCATTCACCCTCGAGTCTTCATCACAAAATTTCTTTCACCCCGTGATTAAACTTCCTTGTGTTTTTCACTCTATTTTCATTCACCCCCAAAATAATTTCATTCACTCGCAACTAAACTTCCTTATGTTTTTCACCCATTTTCGTTCACCCCAAAATAATTTCATTCACATTTGGGTGAATCATTCACCAGTTTAAGAAGCACTGGTTTAAGCGATAGTTGACAATGTTTGACGTCGGTCAAGCTAGTGTCGCCATTGTCTCCCTTAGGTCCTAATAAGGTTCACGAGTAGATGCACCAACAGGGTGTCTTCGTTGGCTATGTGCCACGCTCGCACGTGGCGCCACCTATCGGGGTTAGACAGGTCGTTTTTAATGCAGTAAAAAGAAGGGGAACAACGCCTTGAGGGAACTACCTGTCGTAGGAAGGCGCGCTCTAATTGCTGGAAATTGGACCGATTACGTAATCGGATAATTGGCACACTGGTTTTCGAAAGTTGTGCAGTTGAGGAAATAGATTAAAGTGTGGACTTCCGTCAAGCTAGGGCGCGTGAGGGTTTTACGATAATATAATGGGTTTACCCAGGTCGGGTTTAATCGAGTCTGTTGTTTGGGGGACCGGACGTCCCTACCGAAAAGCAATTGAAAAATATGGATAAAAACAAATCATTATTATTCATTTCCCTATCAGATATTACTCCTGACAATACGTGTAATACAATATGAAATTAAAATAAACGACTAAGTCATCGAAACAGATATGCATGAAACATACATGAAAAAATTTGCAAATGTGTATGAAAAAATGGTACATCATTTTATTTAAATTATTGTTTTTTTGGGGTTTGTTTGTTTTATTGTTTTATTATTTGTTTTTTTAAATGTTTTTCACTTACCTGAGATTGGATCCAAGCTTGGAGAGTTCCCTGAGTGTGAAGTCGGTGAGTCTGTGGCAGTCACACAGGCTGATCTCTCTCAGCATGCAGCAGTTCATTGCCACGTGCTGCACGCCGACGTCCGTCAGCCTCGTACACCTGTGTTACACGCAAACACGCGCAGGTTTTAATGAGAGTATACACACATGCACGCACGCACGCACGCATACACGCGCGCGCACACGCACGCATGTACGCACACACACACGCACACGCGCACGCACACACACACACACATATATATTTATATACATACATATATATGCTCGCACGCCCGTAAGCCCACACGTGGTCAGCCAGACAGAATAGTTTCGCCATTGATTGTCGATACGTATTATATACGAGTCGAGTAGTAATCACCTGCGAAGGTAGAGTCTCGTCAGCTGCTGACAGTGCAGAGCTATCGTCTTCAGTCCGGCATCATCAAGCAGGTAGCAATCGGTCATATCCAGGTTGGTGAGGTATATCTGCTTACCTGGCTGTAGCGATGCCGTGTCGCCATCTGGTGGCGAGAGGTGCGACACTGCAGAGCAGCCTGTGGCGCAAATAGAAATGTTTGCGGTAATAATTGTGTCGTTGATGCCATTGTCAGCGATAGAAAACTAACAAAAACAATTTATTTATTAATGATAATCGTATACAAGCGCGCACGCACACACACCACATACAACCATCTATTTGACTTGCGCACGTAGAGCTGTCATCTTTGCAGCACATCTGACAGCATACCGAATTCGCTCTTCCCAAATTTACTTCACACGCCATCGCCAAGCCGTATGTAGTGCAAATGCAATATACGTGAGTAGACAGCCCGAAATCCTCCCCATGAGTATGATGACATCAGGAATGGCATAATATAGACGATATATTAGACACGTGCTTCTTAAACTCGTGAATGGTTCACCCACGGGTGAATGAAATTATTTTGGGGGAAATTTAGTCGCAGGTGAATAAAATTTTGTGATAAAAACTCGAAGTTAAATGACACTGAAATAGTTTAAGAAGCACTGTATTAGACGATATTATCAGGAGTGAATATTAATAGATAATATTAATAATAATAATAATAATCTATTATTATTTACTCCTGATATTATCATAATTATAGACGGTTATATTAGTATATATTATGACACTCCTGACGCCATGAGACAATGTGGTAGATTCAGATGACATCATGAGACGCTGTGTTAGACTCAGATGACATCATGAGACGCGGTGGTGAACCCACCTGTTACGTTGAGCCTCTCTAGCACGTCACAGCGCGTGACTAGCTGGTACATGGCAGCGTTACTGATAGTTTTACACCCTATGATCGTAAGCTGTCTCAGCTCTGGACATCTAGCCGCCACCAGGGCGAGCCCCGAGTCGGTGAGTCGGTCGCAGCAGGAGAATGTGATTTCTGTCGACGGGTGAGACACACGTTCGGCGTGGCCTGCATGAGTCTGTTGGTCAGTACCTACACATATATACAATAGTAACATACCTACACATATGTACAATAGTAACATACCTACACATATATACAATAGTAACATATCTACACATATAATAATACAATAGTAACATACCTACACATATATACAATAGTAACATATAGTAAAATATATACACAATAGTAATATACCTACACATATATACAATGATTAATTATACCTACAATCGATACATTAGTTAACATACCGTACACATAATATACAATGAGTAATATATTACACGATAATACAATAGTAACATTACGTACACATATATACCAGAGCATAACATACCTACACATATATACAAAGTAGAACATTTACCTAACACATATAGTAAATAATATATTAATACAGGTCAGCTGGGAAGCGCTTGGGTGGCAAGTGAAGCATTAAAAGCGTATATGTATGTTACTAAGTTACTAACAATGCCTCTTGCTGTTACTACTACGTACTACTACTGCTGCCTGCTGCTGCTGCTTGCAACTACTGCTTACTGCTTACTGCCACTGCTACTCGCACTGTACTGCGGGATAAAACATAAACCAATTCACAAAATAAACACGGGACAAAATCACGCAAGAATTCACACGTTGGCCTCAAAATTGCATTCTAGCCGCTTGCGCGACATCGCGCGCGTGGCGCGCGTCGTGTGCGTACGTGGTCACGTTCTGTCGTGTGCGGTGCCGTGACAGTGCGTTGCGGTGCGAACGTGCTGTGTGCGTGCGTCGTGCTCAACTCTAGCGCCTATCCAGGCGATGCGTCTTGTCTCTGATGACGATGCTTGCTCTCCACAGGTGCGGATGCACATGAGCCGCTGCACCTGTGGACAGTACGGCCGGCGACACACAGCTCGGTCCCCGCTCGTCAGTGTGAGCAGAGCACCTCACGGACGACAGCGCGTCGCGTTCAGCTGACGGAAGTAACAGGCTCGACCGGGCGCTTGTTGCTGCCCCGCGCCGCCGTCGCCGCCGCCGCTCCCGCTTCAATCGCCTGCTAGACCGGTGTCCGTCACGACAGGGCGCGCCATGAGTGTCTCGGCCCTTCGGAGCATCGAGGAGGACGTCGTGGTAGAGACCAGCGGCGCGCGAGCCGCGAGAGACTCCGTGACGCACTCGGCATGCGCCTAGTCGCCGCGGCCATCGCCCGCGCTCGCCCCGCGACGTCGAGTCGGCCGCTATACGAGGACGTCTCTGTGGTCGCGGGTTGTCGGCGGGGTCTAAGGAGCGCCGCGGGGGGAGGGGGGAGCATTCGCGGCGCGTCGCGGCTGCGGTTTACGCCTGCTCGACCGCGCTTCCGCGATGACCGACTCTGACTCCCCCCGCCGGGCCTCGCAGTGGCCATTCCGTGATGATTCCGGCTCCCCCCGCCGGGCCTCATGATGGCCATTCCGTAATGATTCCGGCTCCCCCCGCCGGGCCTCATGATGGCCATTCCGCAATGACTCCGGATCCCCCCGCCGAGTCTCGCAGTGGCCATTCCGCAATGACTCGGGATCCCCCCGCCGAGCCTCGCAGTGGCCATTCCGCAATGACTCGCGACTCGCCGCGAGGTGGCGCTCCGAGTGAAATCCATTCGCCAACCGTCCGTTTGCGAGCCGTCCGTTAGGTGGCGCCCCCTCGCGCTCTCTTGCCTCCGGTGGCGCCCCCTCACTGTCTTCCACCTCCCACGGCCCGCTCTCCAGTACAAGCGACTTTCTCTCCTCCTCAGTCATCTGGTCATAGTTGACGTGTAGCTGATCGCCATTCGGCATCACTATCTTACATCCCCCATCGTAAGCGGGAGCGTAAGGAATGCTCCCTCCTCCACCGGGATGCGGGCCCACTTCCGGCCACATGTCCGGCGGGCGCGACCACGCGTCGTCCGTGTCGCTATCCCCGTACTCCCACAGGAACGCGTCCGGTTCCCGCGGCGACGAACTGCCGTCCGCGTGCGACAGCGAACCGGGATAGGGAGAATTCATTCCGGCTCTTCCCGAATGTCTCGCGGCGGCGGCGGCGGGATAGGGAGTGCCCTTGCCGCTCGCAGCGATCGGGGAAGGACGGGAGAGCTTGGGCGCGAGGCTGGGTCGCAGTGAGACGTAATCGGACCCGTTCTCCTGGTGGAACTCCGCCTGTATGACAATGCGCTGTTCACTCCCACTGGCGGCAGCGGCAGATGTTCTGTGACTTCCGCGAACGCCGTTCTGTGTTGGTCCCGGCTTTACACTCAAGCCGTTCCGAGAACCGTTCCGAATGTTCATCGGGCTGTTCACGCTGTTCACGGAACTCACGATGTTCCTGCCGCTCATCGGACTATTGACATTGTTCAGCGAATTCGAGCCGCTCCTGGCGTTTATTGGGCTGTTGAGGTTGTTCACGGAACTTGCGTTGTTGTTCCGGCCATTAACCTGGAGGGCGCTCTCGCTGCGACCCACGTGACCCTGCCCGCTGACGTCACCGTTCGACGCTTGCTGGCAGGTGGGTCGGCCATGTTGATCGCTCTGTCCGCGCGCATCCACCAGGTTCCACTCGTTGGCGCTATCCTCTGTCTCCTCGTCCCGACCGCGAGACGACGCCAGCGCCCCCGTGCGGTCCGCCACTCGCCTGCACTCGTCGGCGGGGTCACGCGACGGGCAGTGGTGCTGGTTGGGCGAGCAGGGCATCTTGCGACAGTGATCGCGCTGCGCCGGCGAGCGGGGCGCCCCCCGGCGGCCGTTCAGCCGCATCTGCCGAAGCTCCTGTATGCTGCCGCTCTCCAGCGCACCGTTAGAGGTCGCCGCCAGGCGGCGCTGCTGCGGGAGATCGCGCTGCGACTGTGAGATGTACGCAGGGTGGTGCACGCTGAGATGAGAGTGATGAGGATGAGGATGAGGATGAGGATGCTGAGCGGGGCCGTCGCTGCCGCTGTGGTCCTCGCTGCCGCTCGTACTCACGCCTCCGCTAGACGCATGCTTGTCCCTCGCTTCGTTCACCGGACACCTGCAAGCATGAATAGCAGACGGTGTGTATGTGTCACTGACTATACAAGTAATAAGATATACACAGTTATTTTAGACGTGTGGTCATGATTATTTCTACCTACCTTCGTTGACTACCTCCCGTGCCGTTGACTATGTTTATAGGGGCCCTTCGCCTAATGGGGCGCCCCCTATTGTCCATCTGTCGACATGATAGAGTCTCGATAAAGTTGTCACTAACCGCCTCCTGTTTCCAGGCATGCTCTGCAATGCAACAAAAATATTGATGTATTTCAGAAATATGGTGCTGTTCGCCGCACGTACACAAGGTGCGAGGGAGAGAGGGGGGGGGGGAGAATAGGGAAAGACGAATATAAAAGGAGAATTCGTGTAAGATTATCTTGCTTACCTTGTGGAATTTGGAACATAAATAATAGGTATATAGGATAAATAACAAGGATAATATAAATATCGACAAGATAGATAGCTGGATAGATAATACACAATAGTAATATACCTACACATATATACAATATTAATATACCTACACATATATACATTAGTAACATACCTACACATATATACAATAGTAATATATCTACACGTATATACAATAGTAACATACTTACACATATATACCAGAGTAACATACCTACACATATATACAAGAGTAACATACCTACACATATAGTAAAATATATAAATACAGGTCAGCTGGAAGCGCTTGGGTGGCGTGAAGCATTAAAAGGTATATGTATGTTTACTAAGTTACTACAACTGCTCTTGCTGTTACTACTACTACTACTACTGCTGCTGCTGCTGCTGCTGCAACTACTGCTACTGCTACTGCCACTGCTACTGCTACTGCTACTGCGGGATAAACATAACCAATCACACAATAACACGGACAAAATCACAGAAGAATTCACACGTTGGCCTCAAATTCACTTCTAGCGCCTTGCGCGCGGGCGCGCGCGCGTGTGCGCGTTCGTGTGCGTACGTGTGTGTCTGTGTGCGTGCGTGCGTGCGTGCGTGCGTGCGAACGTGCGTGTGCGTGCGTGTGCTCACCTCTAGCGCCCTATCCAGGTCGATGCGTCTGTCTCTGATGACGATGCTGCTCCACAGGTGCGGATGCCACATGAGCCGCTGCCACCTGTGACAGGTACGGCCGGCGACACACAGCTCGTCGCTCGTCAGGTGAGAGAGCACCCTCACGACGACAGCGTCGGTCAGCTGACGGAAGTAACAGGCGGTCGACCGGCGCTTGTTGCTGCCCCGCGCCGCCGTCGCCGCCGCCGCCGCTTTCATCGCCTGCTGACCGGTGTCCGGTCGCACGAGCGAGGGCGGCCGGCCGTCGCTCGAGGAGGAGTCCGTGGAGAGACAGCGGCGCGAGCGCGAGAGACTCCGTGACGCACTGCGCTGCCGCCTAG